CCCATTATTCTCATTAAGCTGAACAATCCAATTCTTAAAGAACCCGATTGTTTGTTCAACAGTCTGCCCATCATCATCCACAGATCGCTCATGCTCTAGCTATTCCTTATTCCAGCAACTAGCAGTCTCGCTGCACTATAAAATTAATTTGCTCGTACCTGAATGGGCTTTGCGTGAAACATTTCAAAGTACCAAACACATCGAAATTGATGGACTATGCAATCAAATCATTCTTCAGTTACTACTTTAATGGATCTTCCACACCGGCCATATCAAATTTCATTACGCCCGATTCTTTCGTCAGATATTCCTACCAGTTGCAACTCTGTTTTCGAGGTACCACAGGGCGGGTAGTGAGGTTCGGTGCCAAAATATGCCACAATAAGCATCTATTTTTGTTCCTAATGTCACAAGTACGAGTTGTTTAACCACCCGTTTATCCTTCTTGGAATGCCCTGATGTATCTCGAAATTATTGTAGCAGCGCTGGGTGCCATCAGAGAAGTATATCTGTAATCAGAATTCTCCAAAATTTGTCCGGATCTGATTGAAAACTTGTGTCTTCTGCAAAAATTGAATTCTTGAAAACGAGTTTTTTAAGCTTGAATTTTCCTAAATACATATCATATTTAGATTTAAAACAGGCGATGGGTACTGAACCGACGGGCTTGGCGTAGCTGCGCTCAGGGAGTGAGAGTATCTTAGTAACATCACTCACATCGATAGGTCGAGCGATCTTGGTATTCTTGGTACAAATCATTCTTATATCTTGTCTATTACTCTCTGTTGAGGGTGGAAGAGGAGGACATTCAGCTGAGAGATATCAAAAGCGTTGCACGTGAAAAATCAAGATGAGCAACGACAGCGGAATTAGAAAATTACATGTGAAAAAAGAACTGATAATGTATTAGCTGAAAAAGGGATCTCAGATTTACGCGTGCCGCTCATGCGGTTCTTTCGGAGCTACATCCAGAATATGCGCAAATTGAACCTATGATCTGTGGACTCCTCTATCAGCTGTGAGCACACCCAGAAAATATTGCTGGAATGTTAGAATACACAGGATAGGGGTGATGGTTCGCACACCTGCTGGAGACAACACCTGGATGACTCACTTTCCTCTCTCCCCCTCTCTCCGTCTCTCTGTGCAAGGAAGGAGGGGATGTTCATGCTCGATGCATCGTGGTTTCCGTCCGCTGTCCTTGTTGTTGATCATTACCGCCATCGATTGATTCGCCTCTTCGCATCGAAACTCTGAAAAAAACGTAGTCCCCGTTTACGTTGTTTAAACAGAGCTTTTGTTGAGCTTTAGCTTGCCCTTCAGCTGTCCAGCGGCAAAATACACGGCGAAATCCTGGTTCGTTTGTTGGGAAACCAGCGTAATCGTGCATTTTCGTGTTCACGTTTTACACACTGCATAAGGGGGAGGATACTCCAACACATCCAGAAGGTGGTCGCAGTTGTGAAGGAGGTTTGAAAATTGATTTTACGGATATGTGGCACACAAAACGGTAACCCTGCATGACAAAACTCCTTGCTAGATGTTGATTCTTTCGCGCAGATCCTACGGTGCTGCCATATTGATGTTGTTTTGAATTAGGCTAAATTGCACAGACCTGTAACTCGGAATACGGTAGGGTTTCGTAGCTGATTATAAATCTTTTTGGCCTTGCATCATTTGATGAGTCTGTACTCGGAAATTCTCATCATTTGATGAGAATTTTCGCT